TATATATATATATATATATATATATATATATATATACATACACACACATATATATATATGTATACATATTCTACCTTGTATTTTGCATCAAATATTTCTTTTCTTTTTATTTTTTTTTTGTTTTTGTTTATTTTGCCACCCTTTTATTTATTCGTCATCCTTCTAAAAACACAATTTAATAAATCTTCGACCAACATTTCCCCATTCGCGTTAATAACCTTTGTTTAAATGTAAAATTAAAGTTGTCAAACTGAAAATTATTACAAAAAAAAAAGAGAAAAAAGAAATCTAAAAAAGGAATTTAATGTAAAAACGAGTATTTAAATCGACGAGTATGAGGAATTGTTCGCAGAGCACGCTTCACACTTTCAAGATGAGCTTTTATTATTCATTTCGATCTTATTATTCAATAAATCGTCCATGATTTAAAAAAGTACAAAAAAAAAACAAAAGAAGAATGAACTACGATCGCATTAGATTATTCACAAGATCATCCTTTAAATGATCCCAAGAGATTTTTTTAGCATCTATGGTAGGCCATGTTTATTATTTTTTTTTAATTTTTTTTTTTTTGTTATCACCTGTTATGAAACTTATATCGGCACTCGTCCGATGCCACGATGTCCATTAGCAGTATGTAGCTAGCTTGCCTGTCTAACCCGGACACCCTCACTTTATACGCGGGAAACATGCGTCTGCGAACAATTTTGCAATCGCAAAAAGAAAGACAAGGTCAATTAGTTCTCTACCGTTCACCGTTCTCTTTCTTTTCTATTTTTATTTTTATTTTATTTTAATTTTAATTTTTTCATTTTTAAATATTATTTTATTTCGTTTCGTTCGTTTGGTTTTTTCCTTTTTTTTTATTTATCTCCTTGCCTTCCGTCATCGATCAATGACTACACAGACAGACACACATACATGTACACATACACACCATCAGTTACAACAACTCGTCTCTCGAAAGATCCTTATGAAATTTTTTTTTAATCCAATATATATATATATATATATCTTCCTCTCGTTAGTTGCAAATAAATAAATAATTTCTATTAGGAGGAATCACGTAAGAAATGATTTTCTTTTTAGTTAAGTCAAATAGCCAGTGAGTGGTTTCTAGTTTACCGGTTCGAATGATGCGAAGCTAACTAACGAATAGAAAAAGTATGATAGGTTGCTCCTAATTAACGGGATATATATACTTGAATAAACTTTCAAGATTCGTACTGTAAATGTTTTTTGATATAAAAAAAAGAAAATAAATAAAAAGATGATATCTATCTGATGGATGATTTTCATTAGGATCGTTAAAAACGAGTTGCCATTACTGTCGATAATAATTCTATTCTTTTCCTTTATCTCTTTCTCTCTTTCTGTGTTATTTATTTATTTTTCTTTCTCTCTTTATTTCTTTTCTCCAAGTTTCTTCGAGCTAACTCGAAAGCTCTACCTGTTATGAAATTTGTATCTGTAGTCGTCAGCAGCAACGATGTCCAATAGGAGGATATACTTGGCCTTGGCATCCAGACCGGAAACTCGGAACTTCATTTGAGGGAACATCTGCCTGGACCCCCGATCAACACCGAAAGTACGATTACATTACATCTTATTTTATTATTATTATTATTATTATTATTTGTCGACAATTATTCTTGCTTTAAATATATAAATGGGTCTATTGAAAAGTATTCATGGATAATAATAATAAACATTTTGATTATTATCAACAACATATGTTATGTATATGAATTAATTCTATTAAAAAAAAAAAAAAAACAATTGTATCTTTTATTAAAATATATTCTCTTCTGATACTAATCGAAAAACCCAATTATAAAATAAAAAAAGATATACAAGATATGAAATTTGTTGCATTAACAGAGCGAAGTATCCAATAAAACGAATCGAAAAGAAGGGTGTGCTAAAAACAAATTGAACATTTTCTGAAAGTAGGGAAGAACTTGATTGGTAAATACGTACGTACCTATTTATCATTTGTATTATTTTTTAATAATTATTTTTGCTTTAAATATAAATGGATCTATCTAAAAGTATCAATGGGATATTAATTTGTTAATTATTATCAACGTCATATATGAATTAATTCTACTAAAAGAATTGTACCTTTCATACTAATTGAAAGACCCAAATATAAAATAAAAATAAAAGATATGATATATGATGACATATATATACATGATATGATATGATATATTGAATTTGTTGCATTAGCAAAGCGACATATCCAATAAAACGATTGAAAGATATAAACGCGTTAAGAGAAATTGCAAATTTTCTCGAAGTAAGAGAAAACTACATAGGTAAGATACGTACTTGTACTTACTTACATACGTACGTACGTACGTACAAACATACTACGTAGGTACATAAGAAGTCAGTAGTGAAAAGTGGATTAAAAAGAAGGTCGACGACCGTAAGACGAGTTCTGCGGGAGCGTAGGGTCAGAAAGTGATTCGTGCGATCGTCATAAAGTAATCCGAGAAGCGCGTCGCTTCCTGTAAGATAAACTTCGTGGTCTGCTTCGTTGATGCGCTTGTGTGTGCGCGCGCTTCTCCAGAAAGAGAAACAAACAAACAAACAAACAAATAAACAAACTAACAAATAAAGAAATAAATAAAGAAAGAAAGAAGAATAAAAAAAGAAAGAAAAAGAGAAAGATAGAAAGAGTCACGTTCGTTCGTCAGTTCGAAGACGACAAGGATGCACGATGGAATCCTGAAAGGTCGGAATAGAAACGTGCACGAGTCAATCTCAAGTCCTGTCAGACGACGACGACGACGACGACGACGACGACCACGACGACCAAGACGAAGAAGACGAAGAAGACGAACCTCGGATGCTGGAAAGTGCTGAAGAAGAAGAAGAAGAAGAAGAAGAAGGGAGAGAGAGGAGGGAAGAGAATCAAGCGCGTTCCCGCGGAATAAAAAGCAGATCTCGTTTCATCTCTTTCTTTCTATCTCAAGTAAACATACACATACATATATATATAGAGTATATATTGTATCATGCATGTAAACGTACTTCAGTGTATAAGGAGTTAACCTGTAGAAAACTGAAAGGAGGGGGAAAGATCTTCGAGAAGAGAATACGAAGTTTGAAGTTATTGACACAAGTTTTGTGCAAAAAATATTAGATGTGTAAAAATTTCTTTTGTTTTCTTTTTTTTATTAAGAAATGACTGTTCACTGTGCTTTTGCAACAAATTAAATATCGTCTTATAATTAGATTTTCTTCTTCGTTTGGTCACACAACGAACATTTTAACCTAGAAGAAAAATATAATATTATCCTAAGACTTATAAATTAAATATGAAAAAATTTAATTTCAAACGCATAGGATAATCCTAAAAGTCAACACATAAATTACACATATACAAAATATATGACAATTATATTATATAAAAAAAGTAATTAACCCTTTGCACTCTTTAAATTTTTTTTGTTCATATCATATATTGCCAGCAACTAGCATATATTATTAATATTATTACCATTTTTATATTTATATATTTTAATATTATTAAAGAAATTACTTCAATTCTCTTTTTATCTTCATAGCAGAGAGCCCTCGAGTGAAAAAGGGTTAATTATATCTTAAAAAAAAAAAAAAAAATTATTTTGTACCTTGAAATCTACAAAAAAGAAAAAAAAAAGGAAAAACAACAATTTGCAATCTTGATTCATTGTTTTACACATCTCAAATATAAAATACAAAAACGAATCAGTTCACAGTAAATATGAAAAAAAAGAAAGAAAATAGTTTATGACGAGAATAAAATCGAATTCATTTCTACAGAATAGATATTGAAAATGTATCAATAATCAAATCGATGAAAAGGAGACGATTGATTTGACTTTTATGTTTAATTCCAATGGCTCTTCTCTCTCTCTCTCTCTCTCTCTCTCTTCTCATGGCTAATAGCTTTTAGCCTCGACACAAATAACAGGACGTTTTCTTTAACGAGCCGAAAAAACTTTAAAACGTCTAACCATTCGTACAATCTTTCTTTTCGAGTTCACCTCGAGCCGTTTATTAAAAGAGAATCTTTTTGAATAAAATTACCTACGACACAGACCTTTACCCTCTCTTTCTCTCCACCCCCTTACCCTCTCCGCCCTCCTCCCTCCTCCTTCCTCCTCTTCCTCCTCCTCCTTCTTCCTTCATCTTTCTTCCCACCCTCCTCCAAGACATCTTACGAGAACTTTGTTACCTTCTTCCCAAGCATGCTGGCAATTACGAGAGAATGAGAGAAAGAGAAAGAGAGAGAGAAAGAGAGAGAGAGAAGGGGGAGCTGGGCAAGGTAACGTGAAAAACTCGCAAAGAAAAGAGAACCAAAGGAGAAGAAGAAAAAACAGAAAGAAGAAGAAGAGGAAGAAGAAGAAGAAGAAAAAGAAAGAAAAAAAGTATCCTTAAAGAAAAGCTACCCTTCTCTGAAAAGACATCGACGAAGTTAGAACGAGAGTCACGCCAGTGTAAATTCTCACAGGTGTGTGCTCTCTCATCTGGTTCCTCCCTCCCCCGCCGCCACCCTCACCCTCACCCCCCTACACCTTCACCGGTTAGTTTTCTTCAAACCCCTCTCTCGTTTACACGCACAAAACTCTTTTCGACTAATTCGTTAAGCTAATTTTTTTTCATTCTCTTTTTTTTTTTCTTTTACATATTTTGCCTCTAATTTTCTTTTTCTTTTTTTTTCTTTTCCTAGATCTTTCAATCTTATAACCCATTACTCATTATTATTTATTAATCACGTTTAGAAGAAAATGGTTCAATTTGAAAGCTGCTGTTAATATTGATTTAATCGATTTAATATACGACACGAATAAGAATTTTTTCCGATTAAGCAAATTGTTAAAAGTGAAATCGAACGAAATAAATATTAGGAATATTTGTAAATGTAGTAGCAGCAGTAGCAGATTTATGAAATTAATCGAATAAATGTAATTTAACGAACATTTTCTTTGAATTTAACCACGACTTCCCTTCGTTAACTAAAATTCTTTTTCCATTGATCTTGAACGCGTCGAAAAGAAATTTCTATTAAATAAATATTTGAAATGGATATATTATGCAAGTTAAATTTGAACAGGAAAAAAGTATGTTGTTTGACGATTTATCTAATAAATTCAATGTAAGATAATATAAAACAACATATCGTAGAAAAATAAAAAGTGGGAAAAAGAGAAAAAGGAAAGATGGATGAAGGAAGAAGGAAGGAAAAAGAAGATGAAGAAGAAGAAGAAGAAGAATAAGGAAAAGAATGAAGAAAAGAAAATATATATATCTCGAGCAGAAGTTTGCGTATTTTCTAGGAGTTTCGCGTCGGCCAAAGACGCGAGTGAGTGCTCTTACGCGTTACAACGGCGGAGGCCAATTACGGTAATTAGCCACGACCATAAACGAGTCCTCGTGAAGCGCGAGAAAGAGAGAGAGAGAAAGAGAAAGAGAGAGAGAGAGAAAGTTGGAAAAAAGGGGAAAGGGTAAAAAGAGACAATAAGACGCACACGCGTACAACGCAGCAGCAGCAGCAGCACACAACATATACATACGCGAGAATGTATAATTCAAATCCAGTTAATAAAAACTAATCACATTTATCTATCTAACTGATTAATTAAAAATAATTTTGTATATATATATATAGCCGTTCGAAAAAATATAAATATATAGAAAAAAAAAAAAAAATACAAAAATGTATGTATAATAATATAAACCAAAAAAAGTAAATATAGTAGTAGAAATATACTTGTTTATCAAATCGGCAAAGGTGTATATATATATATGTATATATGGTCCAGATGAACACGAGGTGCAGTACGAGCTAAAAGACTTCAAAGGAAACGAAAGAGTGACAGAGGGGTGGGGGAGGGGAACGGGGGAAAAAGTAAAAGAGAAAGAGAGAGAGAAGAAAAGAGGAAGAGCGGCTCACCGCAGGGATTTTTGGTAGCATCTGCCTACTGTCCGCCCGTTCGAGAATTTTTCCGCAACGTGTAAAAAGAAGACCGAAAAGTGGAAGAGAGAAAAAGAGGGAATGAGGGAGCACTCGCTCGCGATAAACGAGACACATTCGCATTCACGATCGAGGAGGCTGAAGGATACTAAGCCGGATTATCCAAGCTCTGCGAGCCAAAACAGCCTCCCGCGGGAGGACACGAGGGGATCATATATATATACCTATATATATATATATATTTTATATATACATGTTCCGTGTACGATCCTCAAATCGAAAACTCGTCCTACCGAAAGAGAGAGAAAGACTATCTCCAAAATAACCCATGTGAAGAGTCTATCATACTCTCTTTCTCTCTCTCTCTCTCTCTGTCTATCTCTCAAGCTTCGAAATAGCAAACCACCCTTTTTGCCCTTTCATCCTTTCGAACTTTGATCGCAGTTTTCACGGATCTTAATCCTTCGTTTGTATGCGTACCTTGTATTCGCGTTGTTGAATCCTTCGAGATTTTATTTGTAACTCTTGTACTATTTGCTTCATATTTATATTTATATTTTTCTCAACGAAATTTGTGTATTTTTTCTTTTTTT